GGCCACACGGGGCTAGTTATGCTATCTTTTTGCCCCCATAAGTTAAACCCAAACACAAGTACAACTTAAACTACAATTATCCTACAATAAACCTAGAAAGCAATCTAAGCAAAATATTCGTCCACTGTAGGATCAATTGATTTGGAATCAAATAGGCCTAAGTAGGGCAGAGTACAATTGGTACATATTTGATTAAAGGCCCATGGTCTTCATCATATTATTATTATTATTATTATTATTATTATTATTATTATTATTATTATTATTATTATTATTATTATTATTATTATTATTATTATTATTATTATTATTATTATTATTATCATTATCATTATCATTATTATCATTATCATTATCATTATCATTATCATTATCATTATTATTATTATTATTATTATTATTATTATTATTATTATTACAGTACCTTTAGAAAGACGTATAAAAAATATCTACCTTAACTGAATTTAGTCAATCCTAAATGCAAAATATTTCCTGATAAAAATATGCAGGTACTGTATATTCAAATTGCTCCACGTGTAAGGGGTTCCAACCCGAAGGCTGAATCCCACCATACCAAATTATTGGGAATTCTGTGTTCGCTTAAGTCATAGATAAGGAATGCGAGACCTAAATTTATCATGACCTTAACTAGTAAGAAAAGAATTTTAATTAACCAGGAGTTATTGGGGTATTCCATTCATTCTAACTAAAAGAAGAAATTTGTTGTCTATTGTATACAACTTTGTGAACAGATCTAAATGCTTAGAACAAAGAATAAATTACTCAGATTTTTCTTCTTAGTGTTTTTAAAATGTTAATTACGGTTTTCTGTACTATTGTCCATCAGTCACTGTTATGCAAACAAGAATAATTAAACTACTGGCGCCGTGTATTAATAATAGAGGGTCATTGACATTAATCAGAAACCAACATTTCCATAAACCAGGTTGAGGTTTACATACAAAAAAAGCTGATACTGTTTACGTTATTTATTAATAATGCAATGATGCGTCAGTTATAGGCCTATAACCTGATTTCCTACACTTTCGCTACAGCGTTTTCGCAGCTCGGTTTCCACACAATCGCTAAACTGTCACTACACCGTTTTCACTGTAATGCTTGCACTGCGTATAGCTCGGTTTCCATAGAATCACTCACCCTATCGGCGACAGTTGTCGGAAATGTTGAACCTGGTTCAACTTTGCCGATTGCGTTGCAAACGAATCGGGTTGCTTTCCATGCACCCTGATTCGTCTGCAACGCAATCGACAAAGTTGACCCACGTTCAAACCTCCCGAAACTGTAGGCGACTTTCGCCGATAGGCTGAGCGATCCTATGGAAACCGAGCTTACTGTAGCTGTCCCCAACGCAATTGGGAACACTCCCGGATTCAACAGATCAATTAGCGTCGCCGAAGGAGTCGGCGGCAACAGCGTGTATCGATTTTTATGGAAACCAGGCTACATTCACTGCGTCGTACGATGAATCCGTCTCCGCCCCCTGTGAGCGCTAGTTTATTGTCGGCAGTCTGAACGGATCGCCATTAAAAACGACCTGTTGGACTCGCGTCTCATGGCGTTGCGTTTACCATAGAATGGCGTCGACCGATGACCCTCGGACACAGTGAGTACCCGACGTTACAGTGCTGCTGTCACCGACGCAACGATCAAACAGTGTCGTCGCCGAAAAAGAGTAGGTGATAGCATGAAGCGATTTTATGACACCAGACTCGCTACTGTATTACCGTATATATTAGCCCTATCATAATTTGATTGTCATTTGCATAGCGCTTAACCAAAATATATATTCTCTAAAGCGCTGTCCTTTAATCTCACACCTTCTTCATAATATAAAGCGAGCTAATAATACTATCAAATCTGTGTCTGTCGATCAGACTTGGTAGTAAACCACAACGTTAGCTGACTTCCACTAGGGCAAACATACTACCTCTAATTATTCACCCTTTCCCTGATTTTTAAAATACAGTATTCAAATATCTTCTTAACCGTTCTTGATTTTTTTCGCCAAACAACATTTTTGTGTCTTAGAAAAGTCAGTACAACATATTAACGTTTATGTGTTTCCGTTACATGACTGTAACGTATCCAGAGGCAGGAATGGCAAAGCGAATAACGCAAATTTAACGTTTTGGATACGACGACAGTTGATAGTTTTAACAGCTAAAGATTTTCTATATGATATAGAGATAGTACCCTCCTTTAATACACAATTTTGCGAGACATTTAAACCATTCCCACATCAATTATTGACGAGAAACTGATATAATTAACTTAACTGGGACAAAATATTTTTTCCTCTTTTTAAATAACTGAATAAGTGTTTTTGTATCAGCTCTTGAGCGTCTTTTGTTGTGTTTCTCTTTTAATATAAAACAGTACAATGCAATAATATAATTCACATTCATAAAAAAAACTAAATGAACACATTAAATGCCGCCATATGTTAACACAATACGTTCTCATAATTTTCCCATAACAATTTGTTTCTGTAACATAAACAAGGGTCTTGTTCTGCACATACCAATATCAATATGTGTTGTAATATTATTATTTCCAACTTCTTCTAAAAATAAAATGTAAGTCCTCTTAAAAATATAGGTTTAAAATGATATCGCAACAGAAGATTCGTGGTTTTATTTCCTCCAAAAGTACATTAAAATAAAATCAATAGTTACATAAGAATTTTATGTTTTCTAAATAAAAATTCACAAATCCATATATGATAGTTTTATCAATACGTTTTCAATTTATTATTTTATTATTATCATCATCATCATCGTCATCGAGTCCTTGGGAGAGGTCGGCTTTACGCACCAGAACCAGAACTATCAACATCAATCATCAATCATCAATCATCAATCACCAACCATCAATTATCAATCATCGATCGCCAATCGTCAACCGTCAATCGTCAATCATAAATCATCAGTCATCAATTACTAATCACCGAATAATCAGTATCATCAATTATTAATCACCAATCACCAATCATTAATCCATATTATCAATCATCAATCATTAATCAATATCATCAATCATCAATCAATATCATCAATCATAAATCATCATTAATCACTCATTAACCAATGCTCTTGAGCGTCTTTTGTTGTGTTTCTCTTTTAATATAAAACAGTACAATGCAATAATATAATTCACATTCATAAAAAAAACTAAATGAACACATTAAATGCCGCCATATGTTAACACAATACGTTCTCATAATTTTCCCATAACAATTTGTTTCTGTAACATAAACAAGGGTCTTGTTCTGCACATACCAATATCAATATGTGTTGTAATATTATTATTTCCAACTTCTTCTAAAAATAAAATTCCTCTTAAAATTATAGGTTTAAAATGATATCGCAACAGAAGATTCGTGGTTTTTTTTCCTCCAAAAGTACATTAATATAAAATCAATAGTTGCATGAGAATTTTGTGTTTTCTAAATAAAAATTCACAAATCCATACATGATAGATTTATCAATACGTTTTCAATTTATTATTTTATTATTATCATCATCATCATCGTCATCGAGTCCTTGGGAGAGGTCGGCTTTACGCACCAGAACCAGAACTATCAACATCAATCATAAATCATCATTAATCAATCATTAACCAATATCATCAATCATCATTCATCAATCATATCAATATCATCAATCACCAATCATTATTCATCAGGCATCATCATCATTAATTATCATCATCATTTTCGTTCATCATTATCCTTGCTTTTATTATTGCAAATGTAGTAATATATTTAATATAAATGTTATTATTTTGAGGATGTCGTCATGATCATGAGATCAAATGACCTGATAGGGATTAGATGACAATATGTCATAAGTTCAAAACAAAAGAGGTTAATCAATGTTGTGTCATATGATATAGTACCGATACGGCTACGTCACGTATTCTGTACTATCTCCGTCATCACCTATATTCATTCTACCATGATAGGCCTATCCAATTTTCTAATGACCTAATTTATCCATCTTATTGTTATTTATTATCAAAGATAACGCAACTGTTTTGTTACATAGGTATCAGTTCGTTTCCTGACGTACCTGAAATCATCCGATTTCGATTTTGTGTCATTTCTAATATATATACAATTACTGTATGTTGGCCACTCTAACTCTGACTACTCTAGCCACCAGCCTAATTACAAAAACAAATAAATAAATAAAATTACAAACAAAAACCCTGTCAAGTTTAGTTTTCATAGTTGTAATAATTTATTAAAACAGAACACGTTTTATTGAACTTTACCATATCTTGGCCTCGTGTTTGACTTTCATTATAAAAATGTATATACTACCACCCAAATTTAAAAAATATATATATTAAAACAAATCTTTTAAAACTTTTTGATTGATTTGCTCATTTTAAGATCAGCACATAATTTACAGTATTAAAATAAATTTTGGGATAAAATAGGCCTTATTTCTTCTTGTACTCGCTTGGCGGTGATAATTAGTTAGCCTCAGTGCATCATTTATAATTAATAACGATCAAAATTATATTGTATGTAATGGAATCGAAATTTCCTTTAAAATGTGTGTAAATGTTTTATCGCAGCGGAATCATCACAAAAACTATGGGAATTTTCATCTAATAATTGCAATAATTATTAATAACTGTGCATGCTTTTTTAAAGTTCGGGCAGGAGTTTATCTAAATACTTGTTTTTTATACTAGTAACTCTTTGTTTTTTTTACAAATCAACAATACTTTAATTCCGTTTCACATAGAAGATCATATCGAGTTTCGTAGTTATTATTTTGCTATCAAAAGAACGAGTAATAGTGTCCGCATTGAGACGCACAACAATATTGGGACAGGATTTTGACAACTTGTAGAGCAACGCCCTCTTACAACAACATGGTACAGAGTTGTGATATTGATTATGAGTATTTTGGACATCGCCAATAGAGGACGTTGTCACACTTTAATGCGTTTTTGTTTTCATTTAAATGACTATAGTTGTCGAGAATCAGTCGTGAACGATTCGACAAACGGGCAGCTCATCTGCAGCGTCGCAATTACTCACAGTTCGATAACAATGAAGTAATATTTGAGCGTCAATATATTTTTATGTAAGATGAAATTAAACCCACCGCTGGCATCACTTTAGGATTGGCGGAGAAACGTGCAGGGAAGATACCAGCTCGACAACCTGTTAGCACGAAGCAACCGGATTAGATTGCGTATGCAAACACTCTTTGCTTTCTTTGGAGAATTACATAATTCTGGTAAGAATATTATTTTAAATGATACCGCAATAATAGAGCACCGTGTGTATTATAATACAACACACATTGTGCTCTATATTATGTGCATGTTATGATGTTATTAATTAATTAATTAGTACATAAACAACTTTATACCGGCAATGAGTTATAGAAAATGACCCCTTTAAACTATGTAGATTGGTAAAGGCGTAAATCAAACTTCGATTTTCAATTTTATTTTTATTGCGACCTAGAATGCGAACAATACAGTAGAATGTTTACACTTAAAAAAATAACTATGTAGACAGGTGGAATCGGGAAGTCATCGATCGCTAACTTGACAATGCGTTTTGCAAATTAGTGTTAATACCCTTACGGTTTTAAACGAATTGGTTGATCATACTTTAGAGCCTACTAGGTTCTCAACCTTTTTCTGGTCCACTGACCCCCGTGTTCAATATCCACGTGGTACCGACCCGGTACTCAGAAATAGCAATGCGTACAGTACTTTAAAAATGTTTTTTCATGGTCGTATGTCGGCAGTTATCAAACGAAAAATAAACGAAAAAAAAGAAAGAAAAAGAAACGTATTTTTTTCTTCTGGAATGAATGCGACTTCGAGTATCTTCTAAAATCTGTCTCTTATACACATCTAGATGTGTATAAGAGACAGATAATACAGTATATTTTATTAGTGCCACTTTTCAAATTCAAAAAAAGTGAATGAATAGAAAAATAACTAAATCACAAAATACCAACAACTAATCCTATCATTACCCCTCTCCGCATCACAGAATAATACAATACTCCTCCCACTTTTGCCACTAAATTTTGAAAATTTGAATGCAAGTCAATGTTATGTGCTACTCACTTATTTATTCTGAAACTGTTGTGTCCCCACCCCCACCCCCGTCCCCACCACCCCCCCCCCCCCCTTTGAAAAATACTGGATCCGCGCCTGCATCACGTTTATGTACCATACAGTGTACTCACTACGCTTTTAATTGGATTAAGTTGCTGCACATTATTGACTGACACACTGTGTTTCCATGGCAAAGAGCTCGCAACGTGCATGAGTTGTAGAAGATGGTATACGCATCTTTGTTGATTGTGAGTTGAATGAGCCAAGGAGATACTCTGCAATATATTGATAGTTGCCTTGCATAGTTGACTTATTCCATTATGGTGGGATCAACTGTAAGCAGAATGTCATGCTTTGTTGTTATACTATAATTATTGGAAATTGGAAAAAGAAAAAGATGTGAAAAACAAGGTGGATGCTTGAATGAATTGTCTGAACATTATATCAATACTATTTTATATTATCTGCAACTATGATCTTCCTAATTATTATTACTAATATTATTATTACTATTGTTATTATTATTAATTATAATAATGTGTAATGATGATGGTAATGATATAATAATAATGTTGATAATTATTATGATTACGACAATGAAGATGATGATGACAATTATACTTCATAATGCATGTAATATAATAATAATAGTAATAATAATAATAATAATTATTATTATTATTATTATATTTATTATTATGCGAATGCAAAATAATATTGTCGTTGTACATTTTTTTTAAAAAGAAAGAAAAAAAACTAGCGAATATTATATTAGGTAGACAAATAGCACTCAATATGAACTTTAGTTTAAACGTGTTAACTGACTTTCGCCAGTAATTTATGCCAGGCTAAAAAGGTGAGCGAAGGTAACAAACGCATTAAATAGTGTTGAAAATCTGCTTTAATGTACTGACCAGACAAAACACATATAGTGTGATCTTAAGTAAAGTTCATCTCAGCAGATACTAAAGCAACAGTAGAAATCTACAGTAATTATTATTATGGCTCTTGGTCATTGCATCTTAATCTAACATCACCGGCTCCGTTGGGTATATGGATTGCGAGACTAAAAATATATAATCCATTGATGCCATAAATACCACGTACGCACGTATACTCCTGTGTGGAGTCTCGGAGTAGGCAAGATGAGCTAGAAAGGTAAGTGACATCATAGCGAGGGGTTCAAACGCCGGGGGCAGACAAACTCAGATTTTTCATAAATCTATCGTGGGCATCTCGTAACTTAGACAATGAAAGTTACATAATGTTTTTAGCAGAGTTACAAAAAGATACAAATACATATGAAGACACAGATATATTTTATTGTTATTTGTCAGAGGCATAAGATTGGTTGTGTTAATGGTGCAACATCACCTTAAAATTAAATAAATAAGTTGAAAGTACAAGAGAATCAACTAAAAGTTCGCGTTACAAAATGACACGATATATGAAGGTTGAAAGACCCAACCACAACATTTTCACCATCTACCCCCTAGACGACCAATTTGAAATATTATCGAAACTACATTAGAACTTTAACATAAAATCAAGCGAAAACAAAAGCACTCTAAAACGTTATAAAGTTGAATTTAAAAAAAAAGAAAAAAACTATTAGGTCTACCAAGTGAGAGATGCAAATTTCCCACATTAGGCCTAATAAATTAAAACCAAGAGATGATAGCGGAGACCATCCCATGTCTCATCCATGAAGATCCCTTGATTCATAGAAATGAAGTAGGAATGGCTATCAAACATTGCTAATGAAAATTCTGACAATGTGACTCCGTGTCTGACAGGAACTTAAATCAGGCAGATACATACGTTGTCACAAAATGTTTATAAATTTTTGAAGGTAATTATTATTATGTAGATGTTCCCAGACGAATATCACAAAATAGGTTGTCCTAGGAAATAAAGTCGTGCTGAAAATACTCACGACAGAAAAGTATGCGAAAGTATACAGAATTTTTGTTTTGGTGTAGAACTTTCGTTGCAGTTAAAAGTATTATAAAGGGATAATCAAGTCATGAGGAGTGGAGACCTCTGTTGTGATTGTCTCCAGTACTCATCATGACTGCTTGCACTTGTATTCTGATAGTATGATGGTATGATCCACCATCTCTTTTAATTTTGATGCTTCTTTTTTCATAAATACATAAACGCCTCCTTGACCTCTTTGCTCTCTTCACTTCATATACTGTATGATGATTATTTTTCTTCTAAAATACTCAATATATTCTCCTCTGGATTTATGATAGTGATATGGTTGTGCGATAACTTGGATCTGTGGGATCATATGCTACACACGACGACCGTGTAGTCGATCATACAGTTTCTCTGTGGTACTGATGTTAGTCTTTTTTAATGTCCAGGTACGTACTATAACATAACACTAGGCCTACAGACGATTCCTGATCGTTTTAGGGCTTTAGGCCTACTACTGGATGTATTTTGTTCTAAATTTTCTTCAATTGGTACAGATTCACTGTCATATTTGCCAGGATCTGGATAAGATACCGCCCAACACTCCAACGGAATAAAACGGGCAGGTATCTGGAAGGAAGCAATGAGGCAGCACACAGTAGTATCATGTAACAAGAAGCAAATTATACTCAAATATTGTAAATACGTGAAGTGGAGTCAGATACTCTATTTATTCTTTATCAACCAATTTAATTATCAGAATATCAGAAGATAGCTTATATGATATTACTTACAGTTTTAGTTTAAATATAGTTCACTCAGCACTTAATTTTTTTATTCTTTGATACCCCACATTATTTCAAATTCATTTTTGAAAATAAAGTTGACTTGCATTTTGTATCTTGCAACATTTCAATAAACAAATCTGTCCCTGCAGTGGTTGTTTTTTTAAGTTTTAAATTTTAGATAGTCAAAGATGATATACCATTATACTTTTTTTGGTAACAAATTAAATTCTAAGAAGAGGTCCTCAAATGTATAAGGTGGGCTTGGTCTAAAATCGTTGTGCAATGGTCATCTATTTATACGAAAGATTGAAAACAAACCCGGGAAACACTTCGCCTAAATAAGATAGGATAATACATACTCCAAGTATCGAAATGCACGCCATCGTGTCAGGATTCAGTATTTCGACATTAATTATGTCATAATCTGGACATAGTTCGCTTAAATGTCTTCATGAAAAGTGATGTGCCTTTCTAACATAGAAACAACATGATTCAATACCGAAGGGCACTAACGTCGGAATAATGACTGATTTTTTTTTTTTTTTTTGCTAACCAATTTCTATTTAATGTTTAAAATACCCTACTATATACTATAAAGCTTGAAGCAAAAGACCCAGTTGTACCATATACCATTGTGCTTTATATAGGCCTATTGTTAAGAACATTATGACCAGTTAGGTAAATCAATCGTATCATTAACTCTATAAGCATAGTATCATTGACTGCTTTGTTAATAATTTTTAGAAGTAGCTTATTACTCACACTGTAATGTTTAAATGGCTTTGAAAGGAATTTTCATCACTGCGTGATTGTACAATGGCCAATATGTGTCCGTGCCATCTAAATTTTAAATAATATTCAAATTCACAGAGATTGGTTAGCCTAATTCAGAATATGAATTAATAAATATATTTGTTTCTAATAAATTCTGGTGGCTTAAGGCTGTATAAGACGTTTCTGTAAATATACCTATCTTTTACCTGCTTACATGTTAGTTAGTCTATAGTCATATTTTATAGCACTTCTCTTAATGGGTATGATTGCTTTGACTGTCTTACTGGACAAATAAAAACAACTTTAGTGTAATCTGTGGAAACACCACATTATCTACCTGACCAGAGGCTAAATACAGTATAATGGTGAAGTTGTTAATAGATGAATAACATAAATGGTCAAGATTTTGGGAAAATGCATGCATCAGGACTTTAATTATGGTTTGTTCTTTGCTTGAATAGGAAAGAAAGAAAGAAATCCAACCTGACTGTACGTACTATGAAAGCAAAATCTATAGAGGTAGTATTTCACATATACATTTTATTAATAAGAACACATTTTATAAGAACACTGAGTCTGATGAAAAATACAAACAAAATAAGAACAAATTGAACCTAAAGTAAAATTTCAAATGAGGTTTTTATTTATTTATTCATTTTTTTAAAAGAAAAACT